TGCAACAATGGCGTACTTTCAGGCGCTCGGCTTTCCTACAATATTCTGCCTCGCCGCGTCTGACAATGATGTGGCCAACTTCCTCCTCCCTCCTCCTCCTTTTCCCGCCTTCGCCGTCCTCTTTCCTCCCGTCGCCCTCCGTCCATCCTCCCTTCGTCCTTTTATTCCATCTCCTCCACCTCCTTCTCTCCCTCCTCCTCCTCCTCCTCCTCCTCCTCCTCCTCCTCTTCCTCCTTCTCTTCTTTCTCCTCTCCCTCCTCTTCCGCCTCCCTCCCCCATCCCTTCCTTCCCTTCTCCTCCCTCCTCCCTCCCTTTCTCCCTCCTTTTCCCTCCCTTCTCCCTCCTCCTCCTCCTCTTCCCTCCCTCCTCACTCCCTCCCCCCCCCCCTTCCTTTTTTACGCTGCGAGCACTCTGGGTGCAAGCCTGTGGCTTTCACCTTCTTCCTCCTCTTCTTCCTCCCTCCCCCCTTCCTTCCTTCCCCCTCCTCGCCCCCACCAGGCGGAGCAGTTCTCAGTGGCGGTGGCCCCGCCCGCGCCCACGCCGGTGGACCCGTCCCAGGCGGGCGGCGGCCAAGAGGCCTCTCGCCACGCCGCTGCCCTGCAGCAGCGCACCGAGGGGAGGTTGTTTTTTGAGTTTCGCTTGGCATCGCTCGGACGTGTGCATTTCTCCTTCGGCGAGGACCATCGAGGAGCACCCTTGATCATCTGGCGGAAAAAACCACGCACGAAACCGAACAAAAGCACAGGGAATGGACGTCCGAGCGATGGCGAGTTCGGGGTTCGAGGGTATAGCTCTGATCCGTGCTTCGGGGGCCCACACCGGAGCTGCCCCGGACCAGAGCTCTCCCCAGCAATTCGGGCGCCCCAAACCACTCACTCCCGAGTCGCTGGGGCCTTGGCATCGCTCGGACGTGTGCAGTTTTCCGCCGGCGAGGACCATCGAGGAGCATCCTTGATCACCTGGCGAGAAAGCCACGCCACGAAACTAACCAAAAAAACACGAAGGAGGAGGAGGAGGAGGAGGAGGAGAAAGAGAAAGAGAAAGAGAAAGAGAAAGAAAGGAGGAGGGGGAGAAGGAGGACGAGGAGGAGGAGAAGAAGGGAGGAGGAGGAGGAGGAGGAGGAGGAGGAGGAGGAGGAGGAGGAGGAGGAGGAGGAGGAGGACTGGACGTCCGAGCGCTGGCGAGTGATATTCGGGGCTTCGAGGGTGTAGCTCTGATCTCCGTGCTTTGCGGGGGCCCACGCCGGAGCTGCCCCGGAGACCCCTGGCAGCGCTCGGACGTGTGCATTTATTTTTTCTCGGCGAGGACCATCGAGGATCGTCCTGGACCATCGAGCATTAAAAAAACACGCACGAGACCGAACAAAAGCACAGGGACTGGACGTCCGAGCGATGGCGACAGTTCGGGCTTCGAGGGTATAGCTCTGATATCCGTGCTTCGGGGGCCAACGCTGGAGCTGCCCCAGACCCTGGCATCGCTCGGACGTGTGCATTTTTTTTCTCGGCGAGGACCTATCTACGCTCAACGGCTGTCTAGGCCTCGGGGGGTACAGGCACATGGCACACCCCGTTCCTCAGTTTTGTTAACTTTCTCATGGTGTGAGTGTCCAGCTGGTGGGGCCGGGATGATGTATAATACTCCGCAGTGGCTGTAAGTGAGGAATAAAACGCCTCTCAAGTGCAACCGCCGTTTTTTTTTCCGCCAGTGCTGTAAAAAAACAAAAAACATCTCGGCGAGGACCATCGAGGACCATCGTGGACCATCGAGCACAAAAAAAAACACGCACGAGACCGAACCGTGCACGGGAGAGGGACGTGCGAGCGACGGCGAGGACCAGAGCTCTCCCAAGCAATTCGGGCGCCCAGCCACTCGGTCGGGGGCCCCAACCGGAGAGATACCTGGGGCCGGAGCTATCCGGGCTAGCTCGGGTGTCGAAGGGAGGGCGAGAGGAGGAGGAGGAGGAGGAGGAGGAGGAGGAGGAGGAGGAGGAGGAGGAGGAGGAGGAGGAGGAGGAGGGTACGCCCCCCGTTGCCCGCAGAGCGCCCCGGAACCGCGCAGGCTTCGACGCCGTCGGGTGTCGAAGGGAGGGCAGGAGGACGCCTCGGCGGCGCACCGAGGGGGGAGTTTTGGTGTTTCAGGCGGCCGAGGTTTTCGTGCGATTTGCTCGGTTGTTTCCTGTCGCGTGCGTCCGGGGGGCCCAAGCCGGAGCTACCCCGGACCAGAGTTATCCCAGATAGTTCGGGCGTCCCAGGGAGGGTATAGGAGGACATCCTCAATTGTTCGGGCTGCGCACCGAGGGAGGATATTTTGGAGTTTCGGGCTCGAGGTCAAAGATTTTCGTGCGTTGTGCTCGGTCCTCGTCGGTTTTCTAGCCTCGGGATGCGTTCCAGCGGCTGCGCCTCGCCGAGGGCCGATGGCGTTCCTGGAGTGCCTGAGTCGTCCCGAACGGCGACGGGAAAGCTGGAACAATTGATCGTTTTCCAAACTTAATTGATCGCGTCTCGGGGTGGTGTGGTAGGGGTGGGCCGTGTAAGACATGCAGTGCAGGTCTTATTCCTCCTCCTGCCTTGCCTGTCTTTCGTGTCCGCTCAAGCTTTTTCTGGCTCGAGGTCTCTCGAGCGAGGAGCTCGCGCTCGCCGCTCCGCCCCACCAACTGGGGCGCTCGCGGCGCGGGCGCTGATCGTCTGCACCACGGCGGGGCGGTGGTGGTTCGCCAACGCTGCCTTGCTCTCGTACATCGGGGACTGGGGGGTCCTCGACGCGCCCCTCTCGAAGTCGCTGGTGGAGCCCGAGGACGACGCGTCCCAGAAGGACACGAGAGAGTCGGAGCGGCTGAGCCTCCACTACTATCGGCGGGTTCGCATGTCTAGCGTGACACGATGGAGCCGCTTCTATCGGACGATGGCCCCATGACGGGGGCAGGTGCGGATGTACCCGAAGAAGAAGAACGACACAAGTTGGATCTACGTGAAGCTGGACCACGCCCTCTTGGTGGGCGGCATCAAGGATCGGGCGAAGCGGTCGAGTCGTCGGCGGCCTCGCTGGGACTACGGGCTCTTCCCTGCCCCCGCAGCCAGCGAGAGGACAGGCGTCCTGGAGAAGGCCCTGGAGAGGCCGCTCGAGGCCGAGCTGTATCTGTCCAGCGCTCACGGCTAGGGGGCCTCCTTGTCCTGGTTTCGCTCTGGGCTAGCTGGCGCGTGGAGCACATGGAGCTGGAGGTCGACGGTGGGTTTCGCCAGCTTCTCCGGGGGAGTGGCCGTCTCGGGCAACCTGTGGCGGTGGATGCGAGGGGTGGTGGAGGAGCTCGAGGATGGCCACCACTCGCTCCTCGTAACCGACGACGGCCGAGGCCACTGTCGCGACCTCTACCTAGGCGGCGGGCTCGAGACGTCCATCATGATCTTCACCGCTTTTGTGGCCCTCGGGCCAAGTCTCTGGAGTTGCTGCCAGCAGATGCCCTCGCCACGGCTAGCGGGGGAAACGCCTCCAGGGATCGCCATGGACAGCGACGGGGAGGCGGGCCCCTCCAGGGCGGGTTCGTCGGACGAGTCGGTGCCAGCCAAGGGCATGCAGGAGATGCCAGCCACGAGGAGCAGCCTGTTCGACGAGATCATCCGTCCACGGTCGGAGTCGCGTCGTGCCCGCACGAGTCAGAGCATCTCGTCGGCAGCGTCCCCTGGAGAGAGCAGTCACGCCAGCGGGGAATGATTACCCCGTGGCACGACCGAGCCCCGCCTGGACCGGTATGGGGACAGGATGATCGACTGGTTGAATCGTTTCGAGGACACGAGCAATGCGGACAAGGCCTCGCAGGGATGCCAGCCCCCGCAGGCCGCGTCGCCCACGGCGGCCACGTCGGGTTCTGCGACGTGTCCCTCCATCGACCTGGGAACGACGGAGATGCTGGCGGGCGCGGGGGGAAGCCCCGAGTCGTTGATGAAGGTACGCTGGGGCCCGAGGGAGCGGGCGCTGGCCGACCTCGGGAAGATCGACGCGCTGCCCACCGTCACCCGCCTCGCGGGCCTCACCTCTCACGCGGCGCCAGAGTTGCTGGTCAAGACCTACGGGGCGGACGCCAACTTGGACAAGTTCGCGACGGACTGGGTTTGCCCCAGTTAGCCGAGCCGCGACCACCTCTGCCACCAGAGGATGCTGCACTGCATGAAGCTGGATCGGAGGTCGGAGGCCCCGCCCGAGCTCACCCAGACGCGAGGCGCGATACTCTGCGCGCCCGAGTCTACGCGCCGAAGCGGGCGTTCGAGGACGTGGCAAGCATCATCGACGGGAAGCAGCCTCAGGACAGCGGGGCCGACCAGTGGAAGTCCAGGGCGTGCTGGGACCTCGCGGACAAGCTGGACGGGAGGTCTCTCACGGAGGGCGAGGAGGCGCTCACGGGAGTGGAGCGCAACTTGACGGCCAGGCTGCAGCAGAGGGTTCTTCAACATACGGATCCGCAGATGGAGGGCTCGGACGTGGCAACGGAGGAGGACGAGCAGACGGGGGGATGGTCTCCCCAGTCCGTGGAGCCCTGCGGGGCCCCCGCACTTGAGGGAGAGGCTGGCGGTTTACCGTTCCGTCCGCTCTGACGGCGGCCACTCTTGTGGGCTCACTCTCCCGATAGCCGTGGTGGTGCTCTCGCTGGTCGCGACGATATTTTCGCGTGACACCGCATCCCTCGGGAGGCGACGACATGCCCGTTTTTATCCATCCACACGTTTCTCCATCGTCTACCTCGACAGCAGCCGCGGGCGTTCTTCCCGAGGCCGTTCCTCGAGACCGAGACCCTCTGCCGGGCTGGCCGCTGTTGCCCTGGTCGGTGGTGGCGGACCGCGCGGGGCCGATGCACACTACGACGTGTGTGAGCCCGCGCCGACGGGCTGCTCCGATCCATGCACCGCCCATCTCGGGGCAGGGCCAGAGCGGCCGAGGGCGTTGGGCCGTCGGCCGCGTGGGAGCGGGCGACACCGCTCCAGAGGGCTACTTCGAGGAGGTTCCTGGAGGCGCGGCTAGCTTGGGGCAGCCAGGTGGCCGCGATCAAGGTGGACGAGGACGCTGCCCTTTGGCGCGTCACGGCCGATCGGGCCTCGCCGTGCTCAGGCGAAGGGGCTTCTACTGCCCTGGGAAAGGATTCAAAGGGATGGGTGATGCTACCGAAGGGCGTGGTGGTCTCCGTCGACGCGGGGGAGTATGCTCGCCCGCCACCAGAGACCAACCCTGCCAGGACCGTGGACCCCTGCCCGCTGGCCACCGAGGACCTCTCCGACGGTGCGGGAAGGATGCCACGCACGCCCAACCCCGCCATGGAAGAGGAGCTGAAGGGCCAAAAGGTCTACCGAGATCCGTCTTTCCGATCGAGGACATTTCTTCCCATCCTGGCCGAGAAGCCCTGGGAGGCAGGGATGCTGGGGACCCCCGACGAGCTGGTCGAGGGCGTCCCGCTCTGCGGGGTCATCCAGAAGTGCTAGCGGGAGGAGGCGGGCCCCCTCGGCCCCGTCAGGCGCCAGATCCGCGCCATCTGGGACTGGAGGGGGGCCAACCTCCGCTGGCAGACGCCCATGCACGGGCCCCTGGGCAGCTCCGCGACCCTGGCCAACCTGGACCTCTCCAATCTCGGCGAGACGGACGTGGTCTACACAGGGGTGGGCGAGATCCCCGACAGGTTCGACCTCTTCGAGACGCCGCCCGATGTCTGGCCCTACTTTGTCTTGGAGGGGCTGCCCCTCCACGAGTTCTTCGACTACGTGAGGGCCGCAGGGCAGAGCTACGTCATCCCCTATGGCGGGCCCCTCCTGGCTGTGAAGGTCTTTGTCAGGGGTCGGCCGTGGCTCCTGCCTCTGGCCCACTCCAGGCCGAAAGCTCCCACGGCGCGCAGGCTCTGGGCGGACTCCGGGGGTGCGCGCCTGGTCTACGGGGCTCCGACGCACCAGTTGATCGGGCCCGTCGAGTTCGAGTCAGGAAGCTGGGCGTACATGGACGACTACGTGATCGTGGCCACGTGCGCCAGCGGGCGGCAGCCAGTGAGCGAGGTCATGAGGAGGCTGACGGCCCGAGTCAAGTACTACTTGGGGAAGGTCGGGCTCCCCGTCCACCAGGGGAGAGAAGGCGAGGGGATCGAGTCGTGGGGTGCGGTCATTCGAGGCCGACCTTACCCTGTCTCGGCCAAAATCGATCGCACTTGTGGCCTGGCCCTGGCGGCGCTGGGGCTGGCGGCGCGGACATGCTGGACCCCGGAGCCGCCGTGAAGCTGTGGGCGTGGGCGGCCATCTCTCAGCGCATGGGCCTCGCCATCCGCGACCGGGCCTACCGCGAGATGAGGCGCCCAGGGGCCGCCAAGACGCCGTTCCGCCTAACAGACGCGACGAGGTGGGGGCTGACGACGATGGCCTACTGCGCCGCGCTCAGGCACGCGGATCTCGAGGCGCCCTGGCTCTCGCAGGTGTCTGTGACGGGCATGGCGGACTCCAAGGACAAGGGCCACGGGGTTGCAGTCACCGAGGCCCCGCTGGAGGAGATCAGGACGGACACGGGCTACACCGAGATGAGAGGGTGGACGATCGCCACCGACGCCTGGGCCCCCCACGTTGGGGGATGTACCTACGACGTGGACGAGCTCGCCGAGGCGTCGGCTACACCTCCGCCGCGGATCTGTCGGAGGCAGGCGCCGAGAGGGGGGCCTGGAGGAGGCCATCTACGCGCGTGCGGAGTGCGACGGCTACGAGATCAAGGTCTGGTCCATCGACTCGGTGATCGAGCCGAAGCACGACCGCCCCAACGATGAGCTGGTCAGCGCGATTATGGGCCAGACGCGCGACGGGCACTTCCACGCAGTAATTGCCCCGCCGCCATGTTCCGCCTGGAGTCGAGCGCGCTTCCTGAAAGAGAGGCCCAGGCCCCCGCGGACGCGCCTCGAGCCTTGGGGGCGGAGCGACATACTATTCACCACCTTCGAGCCCCTCCGCCTGGACCTTGGGTCGCGCCTCCTGCTCACGGCCACGCGGGCGGTCCGCGAGGTCTGCCGAACTGGTGGCCTTGGCCTGGCGGATCACCCCGCGGACCCAGAGGAGGACCGGTACACGTCTATCGGGAGCCCCCCCGAGATGGCCTGCCTCTGCGAGGAGACGGGAGGCCAGATCCATCAGATCGACCAGGGCCGCGACGGAGCTTCGCCGATGGACTCGACCATGAAGGGCATCTTCGGGGTCTACGACGACGCACTGGACTTCGCCGTGGGCCGTCTCCTCCCGAGAGGCAACCACCGATGGGGGGCATCCAGCGATGCTCGAGGGGCGAATGGCGCGGGGCCGCCCCGACATCTGCACCGCCTCCGCCCGGGCTTGCCAGCCCCCGCGGTGCGCCGCGCGAGGGAGGGCGATCCTCGAGACGTCGGCCCACATGACGAAGGAGATGAAGGGCCCCGATCCAGCGTGCTCGTGGGCCCCTCCAGCTACGACGCCATTCGGGCCGCCGAGGCCGGGGGGGGCGGAGATCGAGGTCCCCCCCACTGTCCCTTGCTTGGACGCCACCTGCGAGATGGTGGCCACTCTACGCCGGAAGGTGGAGGAGCACGGAGCACACGAACACCAACGAGATGCGGACCGTGGCGGGCGTGCTCCGAAACCTTGCCAGATCGCCACGGAGGCGGATGCTGAAGGCCCTGAGCTTCACCAACGGCATGGCGGCCCAGGGAGCCCCAGGCGAGGTCCATTCGAGTTCGTTAACCCTGTTGCGCCTGGGCCACGGGCACTACCGCTACGTCCCGCTGGAGCTGAACGTCGCCGAAGGCCTCTCTCCAAGATGTCTCTTGGGAGAGGCGCCCGAGACGGTGGCAGCCCACTGCGACCGACACCCCGCTCCGACGGACAGCCGACCTCACGGTCTACGCGACCTGGGCCACACGGGTACGGGATACGCTGGTGGCTAGCTGCCCTGGCGATGGAGGCAATCCACCCCGTCGGAGCGATCTGCCAGAAGCCGCGCGCGGCAGGAGACGTTCCCCTGCAGAGGCGGGGGCCGCGGGCGTGGGACAACTACGAGAAGGAGACGTACCTGGGCATCCGCGAGGGCGGCTCCACAAGGCGATTCACCCACTCCGTGGCGGACGTGATCACGGCACAGTGGGCCCCGAAGGTGCGGGACATTCTCAGCCACCGCGTCGCCGAGGGTTGGGAGCTTCGGTGCAAGAGCGCCATGGGCCACGCCCTGGCCGACTACAGGGACATGAAGTGCTACCGAGACCGACTCCACCCCGCATGGGGGTCGATCGTCCTGTCAGGGCGGCTGGGGAGTTGGCCTGAGCTGAGGGGCCAGCTCCCCTTGGCCTTGCGAAGCTTGAAGAGTTGTCAGACGTTGGTCGTCCCTGTGGAGGGAGGCCCGTGGCCGGAGGAGACCGTCCTCGCCATCGCCGCTTACTTTCTGGGGGGGGGGCTCCTGGACGAAGCCATCGGGACCCTCGCGCAGTACGACGTCTACGGGCAGGAGCGGGATATGGCAAGGCCGCGCAAGGCCGACATCAGTTGGGACGGCCTGGATGCCGAGACTCCCCGAGCCGGGGGGGGCCCGCGCCAACTACAGCAAGCAGCAGAGGCAGCTGGTCGACAGCTGGAGATGAAGGAGGTGAAAGATGTCGCCACGGAGCTCGCGACAACTGGATGGTGGAAAGAGTGAAGCGACAGGCCAAGCGGGGGCGCCCGAGTGGGCGGCTAGGGGCGCCATACGAGGGCTCCCTAGAGGTGTGTGGCCTACGGGCGCGACCACCACCCCGAGGTGCTCTTGGCCGATCGCATGATGAAAACGTTGTGGTCCCCGCCCGCCCACCCTGGACTACAACCTGAAGTATTTCGGCTACGCCAGGCACATCAGATGCGGGAGTGGGAATGAGAATATTCTGATACCGATCGCAACTCGAGTTTTTCCCCATATCCTAAGATGGGGTTCTTGGTATTACTTGGACGCCTCCTACTCCTCCTCCTTCCTCCTCTTTCCTCCTCCCCTCCTCATACTCAGACTTACTCATACTCAGACTTACTCATACTCAGAACTTTCTCATACACCGACCTACTCATACCCAGACTTATTCATACACAGACTTACTCATACACAGACTTACTCATACTCAGGCATACTCATACTCAGACCTACTCATACTCAGACTTACTCAACACACATCAGATTTGGAGGATGTCTCAAGCGGGGCGCTGGTTTCAGCACCCCTAAGGGGAGCCGCCAGGGGTGTTTGCACGGGCTCGTTCGCGGCCATTTTGTGGGGATGTCTCACAACATCTTCTTGGGGGGGGGGAGCGGCGGGGCGCTGGTTTCAGCACCCCTAAGGGGAGCCGCCAGGGGTGTTTGCACGGGCTCGTTCGCGGCCATTTTGTGGGGATGTCTCAGGCGGTTTGCTTGTTTCTGGGCCCAACATCCTTCGCTTGGAGAGCTGAGGATGTCTCAGGCGGGGCGCTGGTTTCAGCACCCCTAAGGGGAGCCGCCAGGGGTGTTGCACGGGCTCGTTCGCGGCCATTTTGTGGGGATGTCTCAGGCGGTTTGCTTGTTTCTGGGCTCAACATCCTTCGCTTTCGGAGCAGATTTGGAGGATGTCTCGAGCGAGGCGCTCATTTTCACCCCCCAGGTGGGCCAGATTTTGAGGATGTCTCGATCGGTTTGCTTGTTTTGGTGGCCAGGCTCGTGGCCCTAAGGGGAGCCGCCAGGGGTGGTTGCACGGGCTCGTTCGCGGCCATTTTGTGGGGATGTCTCAGGCGGTTTGCTTGTTTCTGGGCTCAACATCCTTCGCTGTCGGAGCAGATTTGGAGGATGTCTCGAGCGAGGCGCTCATTTTCACCCCCCAGGTGGGCCAGATTTTGAGGATGTCTCGATCGGTTTGCTTGTTTTGGTGGCCAGGCTCGTGGCCCTAAGGGGAGCCGCCAGGGGTGGTTGCACGGGCTCGTTCGCGGCCATTTTGTGGGGATGTCTCAGGCGGTTTGCTTGTTTCTGGGCTCAACATCCTTCGCTTTCGGAGCAGATTTGGAGGATGTCTCGAGCGAGGCGCTCATTTTCACCCCCCAGGTGGGCCAGATTTTGAGGATGTCTCGATCGGTTTGCTTGTTTTGGTGGCCAGGCTCGTGGGCGCAGATCTCTCCAACAGGCTCCAGGAGGCCCCAGGAGACCACATGAGGTCCCAGGAGGCATCAGGAGGCCACAGAAAGATTCAAGAGGCCACAGGATGTCCCAAGAGGCTCCAGGACAGCTCCAGAAGGCCTCCGGAAACCACAGGTGGCCCCAGGAGGCAACAGGAAGTGCCAGGAGGCCTCGGAAGGCAACAGGAGGCCCCGAGAGGCCCCAGGAGCAGGAGGCCTCAGAAGGCAACAGGAGTGGCTCCAATCCCATGTGTTTTACGTATGCTCCTACCGATTGGGCCTCACCTGGAGCACGATTCTTTGATGTTCTACGTATGTTTCTATATATTGTCCTTCTCCTGTGTTAGCAATCCTACTTGTTTTACTTTTGTTCCTATATATTGGGCCTCTCCTGGGGCACGAGTCCTTGGTGTTTTACGTGTGTTCCTGTAGACCCATATACAAGACTACCTTTTAAAAAAGATGCACATATGGGGAGCTCCACGCAGTGAGTAATTGATGATTGTTATGATTTGGTTGAGGTTATACACATCTCAATCGGCCCCCCGATGAATTACATTATATCTTTGGCCCGTCGGGGCCCTCGTGCAGCGTGTGGTTGAAAACATACTTCCTATAGGCCGCTTCGCGGCGTTGCTGCACGTCCCGCTGACTGAGACCGAGTTGTCATGTCAGCTTTGCTGGCCCCCCGCCTGCCCCCTGAGACGTTGCGATAATGATCGTTTTCCAAACTTAATTGATCGCGTCTCGGGGTGGTGTGGTAGGGGTGGGCCGTGTAAGATACGCAGTGCAGGTATTATTCCTCCTCCTGCCTTGCCTGTCTTTCGTGTCCGCTCAAGCTTTCCCCCCCCCTTTGAACGCTTTACCCAGCCCTGCTCTCACGACACGCGGGAATGAGAATATTCTGATGCCGATCGCAACTCGAGTTTTTGATGATTGTTATGATTTGGTTGAGGTTATACACATCTCAATCGGCCCCCCGATGAATTACATTATATCTTTGGCCCGTCGGGGCCCTCGTGCAGCGTGTGGTTGAAAACATACTTCCTATAGGCCGCTTCGCGGCGTTGCTGCACGTCCCGCTGACTGAGACCGAGTTGTCATGTCAGCTTTGCTGGCCCCCCGCCTGCCCCCTGAGACGTTGCGATAAAACCCAGAATTGCTGGCCAGCATGAGCCCCAAACTGTTTTTTTTTTTTTTTTTCTGGCAAGCTACGTTGCGCAATCTATGTGGTGCAATCCACGTGGTGTAATTCACCATGCCGAAGTTAGAGTTGTCACCTCCACTGCTCGCGCAATCATCCCACCCACCCACCCGTAAGTTGGTTTTCAAAAGCCATGCGGCGGCGATTGCGATTACTGCTCGGCGCTGGCTAGCGCATCGCCGCGGCCGCGCTAGCGCGTATGCTCGCGCGCGAAGCGGCCAGCTAGTTTGACGCGACCGACGTGGTCGCGGCGGCGCTGGCCGCTATGCATTTCTCAATGGACAGCTCAGTACACATCGGCGACTTCAGCGGGCGCGGTTCCATGGCAACGTCGGCCACGTAGACACGATGATGGTAGTAGCGATGCTGGTGACGATGATGACAAGGACGACGGCAAGGCCAGTGACGGTGCCGTTGCTAATCACGCGGGCGACGATGACGGCGTCCTCGCGTCTGTGATGAAGGTTTCTGCAGGAGTTCAACATGCGCGCGCGGCCGACGCGCGAGAGTGGCCCGCATGGTGTTATTTGAAACGGATCGCGCCCCCCCCCCCCCAGGACGTGCGCAAGGGCGTTCGAATCAGGTCGACATGTGGCGCGAGAGGCCAGTTTTCTTAAGAATAAGCAGGAGCGCGAACGCTGGCATTTTTAAGAATTGCATTTGCCAGGTCAGGTGTTTTTGATATGTTGGTCGGGGCACTCGATTTTGACATCCTCGATATCCCTACAACAGCTGGGGTTGATCGAAAGATTGCCGCATGCGCGCAAGACGGCGCGCGCGTGCACTTCGCCCCGTTTGTTGTAAGGGGTTTTTTGCGACAGCACGGTTTTTTGGTTTATAAGTATATATATATATATATGTGTGTGTATGCATTTATATACATATACATGTGTGCATCAAAATCCAGATATACACATTTAAACTGTTTATACATAAATGTATACAATGTGTATACAAGTGGTTGCGAAACCATGTTTGGTTACATGTTTTCGGGGCATTCGATCTTTAAATCCTTGCGCCGCAAGGTTTTTTGAATATTTCAGCATGCGCGCACGGCGACGCGCGCGTGTGCACATCGTCAAATGTTTTGCACGTTTTGTTTGGAGGCTGCTGGTTGTTGATAAACGCGCGCGCGTCTTTTTGTGCAGTGCATGAGGGGAGATGCTCGTGCAGCTGGGATATTATGATTTCGTATTTGAGATTGGCGATGGGGCAGAACCGTGTGTAAATTGCAACGAAGGGGGGGTCGTTAAGTGGGGGGCGGAGCAGATGTGTGTGGAGGGATCCTACGGTTATATATATATATATGTATATATATATATATATATTCATTCGAAAAGGAGAACCTATATGGTGCAATATAAGCGGTGCACCTTTTGTTGTGTAGCCTATGTGGCACTAGCAAGGTTGAACAAGGTATGTGGTGCACCGGTCGTTGTGCAATATATGTTGGCTCTTCGCGCTGCAGCGCATATATGTGTATGTTTATATTGTGCAAACCATGTGGCGCGATCTACGCGGCGCAATTCAGTTTTGGGAGAAAAAAGCTTGGAGTTGTCAGCTCCATTGTTCGCACAATCATCCCAGTCGCCCACCCGCAAGTGGGTTTGCAAAACCCGCGCGGCGGCCATTGCGATGAATGCTTGGCGTTGGCAGGTGGATCTCTGCGGCCGCGTTAGCCCGCGCATGCTCGCGCGCGCGGCGGCCGGCTAGTCTGGCGCGACCGATGCGGCCGCGTTGGCGCTGACCGCCGGGCACTTCCAAGCGGGAACTTCAGTGCGAATCAGTGATTCGGGCGGGCGCGGTATCATGGCAACGTCGACAGCGACGGGCGCGATTCTGATAGCAACGATGTTGATGGCGATAATGACAGTGACAGCAAGTGCAATGACGGCGCCGATGCTGATCACGCCGATGACCATGACGATGTTTTCGTGCCAGCAATGAAGGTTCCGGAGGGAGTTCGACGCGCCGTCGCGGCACACGCGCGCGAGTGGCCCGCGTGGTTTTATTTAGCTTTAGCAGGGACCGCGCCCCCCAGCCCCCCCCCCGAGCTCGCACGGGTGATCGAATGATTCCGACATGCGGCGCGAAAAGTTCCCTCGGCCGACTTAGATGAACGCGCCGAAAAGCTTGCAGTTTTTTGTTTCAAGACTTTGCAAGAGCGCGCCCGTATGATTTGTTGTTCAAAGCGGTGCTTGCAAACACGCAACATTCTTCTGACAAGAAGTTTTCCGGGGCACTCGATGTGGAAGTCCTGTCGATACCCAAGTGTTTGAACGGATGTCGGCGTGCGCGCGCATTTCTTCCCATCTGTGGCAAAAGAGTGTTGG